ATAGCGAACAAAGTCTTGGAACGGATTATGTTCGTTAACCGATCACCCACTGTAATTTTACAAGAATTAATCTAGTAATTGATTTTTTATAGAAATTTTCTTAATTAGTTAGTAACAAATTGTCAAAACTATTAGAAAAGTAGAGTAAATAATTAATAGCGATTTTTCATTAAATTTCTAAAAATAGAATCTAAAATTAATGTATTATGACACAATTAGAAAGTAAGAAATAATAAATTTTAATCTCAATCGATATAATAAATGTGAGGGTCGGACCGAATAAAATAAAATTCAATAAAGGAGCTCCAATTAAATTAAATATCTTTATTAAAGTTAAACAAAGAAAACTTCATTTTTCGAAATTTATTAATATTTTGACAATAAAAATTATTAGATTATTCAATATTGTGTCTTCATTATTTAGCAATAAAGAATTTATTTGATTTATTAAACGTTTATGTGTATTTCATAATGAAAGTTATTAACAATTTCTTTATTATAAGCCTACTAAGCTTACTTATAATAGTAAATACATTAGCAATACGCAACGAAGTGTTTATTGAGTTTAAATTTATATAAATCAAGTATTTAGACTGGAAATAACGATTATTTTCTCTAAAATGTGCGATTTCATCTTTACCGTATTTTTTAAACAAATTATCTGATAGTGTTTATAAAGCCAATTAATAATATTTAAACCTCATAAATGGTTCAATACGAGTATATTCAATAAAATGATTTTTATAATAATAAATGTGTATCAACAGTGTTAAAATATAAAACATACTGAAAATACAATTTTTAAATTTATTTGTCGAATTATGTACAGTTTAAAATTATCGATAAACAAAATAATTATCTAAATCCGGAAAAAATCATTACGTACCCGGTATATAAAATATAATATTTCAGTAACCATTTTTAACTGTCAACCATTATTGAGTCTGTTTTTACTAGAAGCAAAAACAAAACGAATAACAAATACAAAATATCCATAATATTGTGTATCAAATTTATTTACAATATATTATTTATCTGTTGAATAACTGATATTTTTGGTCATGAATTTAATTCTAAGTTTCATCTTGTAGTTTTGAAAAACTTGCCATATTATATTTTAAAATGTTCGAATTATATTTAAACAACTCTCTATCCTGTAGTATATCGTTAGAAATTCATTTTTAAAAATACCGGTATGTAGCAATGAGTTGCATATCTTTCTCGGAAAAATATTTAAAATTACGTGTGACGCCATCTGTTACGCGATTTTATTTTAAAATGTTTTATATTATGAATTATTATAAAATGGCAAAAAGCTTAATTTTGAGGATACGGATGAATTTTATTTAAAAAAAACAAAACAAAACAAAAATGTAAATACTAATAATGAGTAGAATCTTCATTAAGTCCGATCCCACTCGAGATATGACACACGACCTTTCTATCTCACCACTCCCTTGACCTTTAACCACCAAAATTTAATAGCATTAATCCTCTAATACACAAACCTCCCTGCAAAATTTCAGAAATTTTCAACAAAAAGTACAGGAATTATTAAGCTTCAAAATGGGTGAACAAAATCGTGCAGCCTACACACATATGCACACATAACTTACTAATACATTCATACATACGGAAAAATCTCCCCTATCTTTTCATTTATCGACGTCTCAAGATCCCGAGTCTAAAAATGTAAAAATTTTGGGGGATCATTTTTTAACCGATTGTATACTTTCCCTCTGTTATATATAACAGCCGAAAAAGTAAAAAATATCTGAATATTGTTTCATACAGAACATGTATTAACTGCTATTTAATGGGAAACAGTTTTTATTTACACTAAAATAAATAAAACGAATAGATTTTTGTTTAGAATGCACAAATTGTAAATGAAATCGATTTTTAAATCATTAAGAGAATTTTAAAAATGAGAATATGTTGAGTTTATATGTAGGATACACTCCATCAACACCAAAAGTTGGTAGAGTGTATCATACTCAGCTTATATAGGCATATTGGTGCCTAATACTATGCTAGACAAGATAAAAACATAACTCCGGATGGAAATGTTTTGTTTACGTGCTCTGTTCGTCTTTACATGCATTGTTTTAGAATTTCTTGATTATGTGACGTTTTTAGTAGGGCAGCTTTCTGTAGTGTGATGTATGTGTTGTTGTGAAGCACTAATGTTTCTAGACTTGTGGCCAGGCCCGTTTTTAGGTGTGGGCCTACCGGGCATGGGCCCAGGGGCCTCCTAACATTCGAGACCTCGAAAATATGCAAAATTGAATAGAGCAACAAGTAATAAAATTATTATAAACAGTACAGTAAACAATCAAAAGATATGTTTGATAAATTTTATTAAACATAAATATAACAATATGTTTAACAGAGAAAGCTAATTGAAAAAAATTTATGAACATTAACCCTCCATTACGAATTCCTTAATTAAGGGGGCATCTTGCACGTACCAAAGACGGGCCTGCACGT